TCTTTCAAGATTTAAATAGGAAAATTTATGAACCCAGTAAAAAACAATATGAAATCCGTTAAATGGTGTGTGTTGTCTAATTAGGCCCTAACAGTTGCAATGGCTAAAAAACCCTATGGAAAAGGATAAATCCAAAACTGTGTTAAGACGTGCCTTGTGATGCTTTCGTTTTTGGAAGCCATGTCTTTTTTTAGTTTTATGTTTTAGTGAAATCCCATTTTGTGTTCATTCTGACTCATATACTGTACATGTAGCTTTCTTAGGTTAATGAGGCTTATTTTTAACATTACCACGTTTGACTGATTTCAGGATGTCAAGGTAGCATGTGCATGAGAAATAGTCTATTTCTTGCACTTTTTTCATTCAAAAACGAAATAGAGGTATAATAGTAAGTGTGCATTCTATCCAAAGTCGAGATTTCATTTCATATCATCCTTTTTTAGCCACCTATAAATATTATTCAGGCTTTCGTACTTCCACTGTCCCTCACTGTCTTTCTCTCCGGCTGCCAGAGAGTGCTTGATAAAGACAAATAACATTTGACATTTCGGTGGCCCTGATCGAATTATATGGAGTATTTGTTGAGGGATCAGAGAAAATCATGAGCTGTAATGTTACCTTGGTGACAGCATTGTTATCACTGGTGGATGAGAGTGTGTGTGAGAGTGTGAGTGTGTGTGACTGTGAGGAATTGCAGACTCTCACCTGTTTGCCTAGAGCAGGAAACGTACACCATCGGATCGGGCCTGCGTAGTTCAATCTCACACCTTCCGCAGAGTTATTTAAAGGAAAAGATCTCCAAAAATGAAAATTCTGTCATTTATTTATCCTCTTGTCTTTCCAAACCTGTATGACTTTCTTTTTTCTGTGGAAAGCAAAAGGAGACATTTGGAAGAATGTCCGAGCTGCTCTTTTCCACAGTTGTTTATATATTCAGTCTTCAACTGAATTTAAGTCGTTATTCACTGAAATTTTGCTTAACCATTACCGTTCTCCTTTATTCTCCTGAAAAAAAGCTGCTTAGACATCCTACACGGAAAACGTCATACAGGTTTTGAATGAATTGAGGGTGAATAAATGACATCTTGAAGCATTTAACTCACCTATGGATTAGTTCAGACTCTATAGGCAAATCCAAGACTCTGCCGTATGTTTACATGATTACAACACCTGGTGTGTGTGTGTTTGTGCGTACGGGGGTCCCTTCTTTTGAAGTGCGTACTAGCGGCGTTGCTTGCAAGCAGCGTGTTTCCTGTGGTTGGCACAGACAGAGCAAAAGAAGGGGACAGAGGGAGAGAGAAAATTTCAGCTGCGCACGTTCTTTACCACTCTGGGTTTTTTCTCCAGCTGTCACTTTGATTCAGGTCTGTGCTAGACCTATGACACATTAAACTAACGCTTTCCACTAGCGCACCTCAAATTATCTCCTACAGTACCGAGAGGCTGCAATCTCACTCTAACCTCCTGTTACGCAGTTTGAGAGCTTATAATGGCTTATAACTTCTTTTTTATTGTATAACTTATTACCTGTTTGGTGAATTATAGCTGTTTATCTGAGTCTGTTACAAATACCAAAAATATGCTCTGTGGTTCATGTTGTCTTCTTGAACTTGTAAATCATTTGAAAATTACCTCTTCCTGTAGTAGTGTTTGTTTGTGTATGCATGTGTGTGTGCGCGCATCTCTGCTGGTGCAGCTTCCCAGGATGCACAAATGCGTGACACACAAACATGCACGCATATTGCTCATGTACATGCCTGCAAGCAATCTTCATTTATTGGTTCAAATGCATGTGCATTTGAAAAGAAGTACTTGCTCACAGTTGCAAGTACAGTTACAGATATATGTAAAATAGTTCTTGTTGTGAGACCTTCCCCAGCGATAGAGAAAATTATTTACAGGTGAGTCACAAAGTCTTCATATAAAAATATTTATTTAAATCATATTTTTTTTAAAGCTTTAAATTAAAAAGGAACATTATTATGTAAAATGAAGAATTTTTTTTTATTATAATTTTTTTTCTTTTAGATTTTTAGTAAATTGTGACATTGGATATGTAGCCTCCTTACAAAAGCTTCTCACTTCTCACAAAAAAATAAAATAAAAAAATAACAGTTATTTTATTCTTATTACTTTCTTATTACTTCTGTTTATAACCTAATATGCAATATAATTGATTAAAAAATACTTATATTTTAACACTTAATATCTCTATTCATAATACCCAAATATCCCCAAAAATGTCTGTGATTCAAAATAAATGAATATTAAAATTTAAATAACAAAATTATTTATTTGAAGTAAGTAACTAATAACAATGTAGCCACAGTCATATTTTTAATGCAGTGTATTGCATAGGTTGATGAGTCTCTGTGGAGGCCTTTCTCTTTATTTACATGCAAACTAATTTAATGCACAGATGGCCTGATATTGCCCGAAGGGGGTCTGTGCTCCACTCCTATTTGTCTGAGTCAGGGGGGCTGGATTTGAGGGGGGTTCAACTACCTTAGTCATCTTCAGTTATTTCCTTCAATATAGTGCAAAATTTGAAAACGGTGCCATGTGTGTGCAGATGTAATATATATATATATATATTTTGTAATGCTTTATTTAATCAAAATGCTTTCTTAATATGATTACAAAGTCTTTAGATGCTGTTGTTTAACAGGATGCATATCTAAAGCTGCTCTAATGTAGTGTGTATCGTCTGGAATAAAGATAAGAGGGGGTTTAATGGTTTCGTTTTCAAAGCTGCATTCTGAGCTTGACATTACAAATCTGTCCGCATTCATAATTTGGACCGTGGACAAATTGCAGATGGATGCGCAGGCTGCTCGTAATATATCATCGAAAATTAGTGGTTAGCCGGTTCCTCTGGGAGATGTAAACAGGGCTACCTGTGTTGTGTGAGCAGCGTGGTCCGTTCCTCCATCTTTGTCTCTATCGCCGTCTGTCTCTTCTCACGGCGTTTCTCAAAGAGGCTTTTAGGCCTCATATTGGTGAAAAGCGTCTAAAGTGCACAGGCCAAATTTGAAAATTAAAACGGTAATAAATGAATTCTAATTTGTGTTGTTCCACAGGGTTGTTGTTTCTTTAAAAGCATCCCACATTTGTCCTTTAGGCTCTGACAATTTGAGAATTCCTCCCTTCATTCTCCTTCCAGATTTATGTGCACTTCAAAAATCCGCACCTGCTCGCTGCTAAGTGTTGCTATGGTAGTGTTTTTCTTCTTTTTTTCCTGCTTTCACCCAAATCATGCAGCGTGTTGAGTAGAGAGAGCATGAAAGCAGTGACAGGAAGCTGAAGAGTGTAAAGTGGCAGTCAGAGAGGTGTTTGTCTAGATCTTATGATTAGTATGGCGCAAGGATAAGCTGTCAAATGTAACATCAACAGAGCTGTCTGTCAGGGGGTCCCGAGGGGGCTTTGTCAAGGGCCTCTACTGTCTTTGATAAAACTGCTCTTGCACTCGGCGTTGGGCTACAAAGGGATGATTGTGGCCGCGTGCTGAAAGGTGAGGCTGAAATTTCAAAATGGAGGCAGAGGGACCGAGGTTGTCCAGCGTACTCTGTGGTTTGAGCGCCCGCCGCTCCGCGCTGTTTATCTAGGTGACAGAATCAACCAGAAGATCTGCAGGGCCTCTTGCTCTCATGGCTGTGCAAATATCTCTCACAGCCAAAAACGGAGCCCTCCCTCCTTCCTTCTTGCTTTTTTTTCTTTCTTTCTTCTCCCTTCAGACTTTCTGTTTCAGGTCTGGCGGTCTCATTCTCAACCTCACAAATACTGTATTGTATATTAATAACAGTGCCTTGCTGTTGGGTCTCGGCCTCACATATGGATGTTTATTAAGAGTTGGCTGGTTACAGGACAGAACACGCCGAACTGGAGCAAAGTGCCTCGTGTGTGGCCGCTGGGATGATTAAATTTAAGTCTGCCTTTATTTTCTGCTCTCGAAGTTTAGTGGGACTGTCATGGGACGTAGGTGAACACTTAAACGGGCCCCAACATTCATTTCCTTTATTTTAACAAGCTGCCAAATAACAAAATGCTAAATGACCTGACCCTGAACTTTTAGAAAATGTGTGATTATGTCTCAAGCTCCATACCATTTGTATTTTATTTCAATTTCCCTCACTGATGTGCTGGTGTGTTTAAGTCAGTTTTTTTTTTTTTTTTATGAATTAGAGTGCGAAGGAGGTTAGGGATGCATAGATAGATGTAAATACAGTGGCAAATTATGAGCTAAAGATGAATCAATGTTTGTTAATGCATTTCATTTGCATAAAGTGACTAGTGCATTTCTCAATGAAACAGAATATTAAGCAGGAAATAATTTAGAGTGAGACTTGATTTTGTTTTTGATTGAGTGAGGGTATTTTATGTTATGCTATGATATTATTGGTTAATAATTTTTTGACCCCAAGTATTTTATTTCAGTTTCCCTTGTAATTCTATGCTTTTTCAATGAATTTGTGTAAGAAGACAGGATAAAGAAGATTTAAAAAAAGCATGGATAGATACAGATACAGTGACAACTTATTTGTAAACGCATGCATTAAATTTGCATGAAGTGACTTATTTCAGAGTGAAACAGAAATGAAAAAATATATAGTTATTAAATAATAATTTTACCTAAGTGGCTAGTATTTTATTTTGAATTCCCATGCTGATGTATCTGAATGAATCTAAATGCATGAAGTGACATATTTCAGAGTGAAACTGAATATTATGTGGAAAATAATCTAGGGCGGGACTTCATTGTAATTATCAGGATCTGAAATCAGGTTAAGCACATTATTTTTGGATAATATATTTCCTCACCCACATGGCCTTGGTTACATCAGCAGAAATCAAACTAATTTCAGTAGCAGAGTAAGTTAAGTTTAAATAATTTTTTTTATTTGTTTAGACTAATATGCACTGTTTATTTGTGCACAGATGGAGCATTTGTTAAGAATTTCCTATTATCTCAAAACGCTTCTTTCTTTTGCTTTGCCCCATAGCGGAAGCTGAGCATGTGGATGCAGGACTGGCCGTGGCTGATCACTCTCACCCTCACCCGCTGCTGGATCCCAGTATGACTGGGCCTCTGCCTCCGGGCCTGGGCGACCACGACCTCCTCACCTGTGGCCAGTGCCAACTAACCTTTCCCCTGGGGGACATTCTGCTCTTCATTGAGCACAAGAAAAAGCAATGCCAGGGTCTGACGACCGGCCACGGCTGCTATGACAAGATGGCAGACCGCAATAGCCCCTCGCCGCCCCGCGCAGAGCTGAGGAAAGTGGTGGAACCGGTCGAAATTGGAATCCAGGTGACACCTGAAGAAGAGGACGAGAGACTGTTGACGCTCCCAAAAGGAATTTGCCCCAAGCAAGAAAGTGGCCTGGCAGGTAGGTCAAACTCTCTCCAGAAAAGTTTTGAGCAGGCGTACGAAGCTGACGCTAATGAACTCAGACGTTCTCTCGCGCCAGCGTGTTTTCTAATACTGATGTGCGCAAACGTACACTTAGAGCCTGCAGAGTTGCAGACAAAGGGAGACACGCACTCATTTACCTCGGTAGGACTCTGGGCGTCCTGTAGTGATTGTGATACCGCTCATCTGCGAGCCTCAAGAGAGATTGTTTTTCCTTCAGCTGATTTCATTAGGGGAGCCTACGCCGTGCAAAGTGAAACATCACATTACTGACTCAAAGCCCTAAAACCCCCTGAAGGACTCTGGTAGTTGAAACAAATTGTGCAAGACGTGACAGAGAACTCACCCTACTTTCATGGAGAAATCCAGCCTGAGCCATCTGCTTAAAAGGTGAAAAGCTCATTAAAATTCAAATGCTCAAAAAAAAAAAAAAAATAAAAGAGGGAGAGAGAAAGAAAGAAATAGAGTAGGATTAAAAGAGTGAGTTTCCTGTTGAATAGGGGTAAAGAGGCAGTTTAGTTTAGTCCAGCTGTAGGGAGAGAACTCTCCCAGTTATCTTACAAAACAGCGCAGTCAAGTCCTTCTCAAAGAACCCGGAGGGATCTTGGGAAATGGGTCTCATAAAATAATATTCTAGGTTGGACAAAGTTACCGGGGGAAACGCAGGGGAGCGGCTTATGACACTGCCTCGGTTTTTAATAACGTCGTTTTTTAATGCCTCACAATCCTTATTTGCGAACGTTACCCGCGGCATCAGAGACAATTTATTCCGTGCCACCACAATGCCTCGTGTATTTAAATGTCTGTAATAATGAGGCCGCTGCTAAATTACTCAGTACCTCACATGATGCAGGCAGACTTCACTCCCAGACTGACTGACTGGCTGGCTGCTCGCACCGAGAGAGTGTTGGCGTCAGTTGTGAAATATGATGCAAGCATCCACACAGTTACGTGCAAACTGTTCCACTACAGTTCGTCGTTGATGTTTCCTTTTCTTTAAAGACTGACTGGTAAGCGTGCGCTTTGCTAACCACACACACAAAAACAAACTTTAGGTCAGGGTTCAAAAACGAATGTTTTAGTGCAAAGACAAACACAAATATCATTCTCATCGTTTGACTGTATTATATTATATAATTATTATAGTTTGAGTCAGTTTCACATGGGTGTTTGCGTCTCTTTTTTATCTTTTGTTAAAATATATCAATTTTTGTTGATGTAATCCTTTAAATTACTTATTCGGAATATAATAAATTTTTGTTCTTGACAAAATTCTCTTTTTGTAAATGTTAAAACATTAGCTTGTATTTTTAAGGATAAAAAGGAAGAAGGACACTATTCATGTTACTTTTATTGTGAATTTAAAAAAATGTGATAGTATTAGATTATCCAATTAATATTATTTCAGTCAATGCCATCTAAAATTACTAAATCTCTCTTTCGTTTGTGAAAAGATCAACACTGAAAAGTAGTTTTAATCTCATTTAAACTTCAGAATTTGAAAAATGGCATATGAAAGGTGAACATTTGCCTTTGTAAATCATATTGCAGTTAGCAAGAGTAAATTTTACACCTTTCATTAATTCAGGGCTGGAGAGGGAGGCAGTTCGCCGAGAAGAATATAACGGCAGATGAAACATCCTCTGAAAGTGATTAAGACGCTTGAATGTCAGCTTGAGCATGCGGCTAAACACTCACAGGCTGCCTTGTATTCATAATTGCCTCCCAGCAGGTTAAAGTATTCTTTTATGCTAAACCTTTCCCGTTCCATTTGTTCTCGACGTGAAACAGAAAATGACACGCAAAAAAACACTCAGCCACTCCGCCTTGAAAATAGCAGTGGTACTCTTGCTCGGCAAAGCACAGATCATTTTTCATGAATTTTTTTTTTTTTTCTTCTATAATATATCCATCCGCCAGCTTCAAGTGGAGAAATAAGAGAAAGCATGAGAATGCTGGAGAGAGAGAGAGATGTTGATGAGGAAGACCACTTCTGAATCTATCAATAAGATTCCAAAAGCTAACTCTGGTCAGACCGACATTATATTCGCAAGAGTTCCCTGCTCTTCAAGACCCTCACATCTTTTTTTTTTTTTTTAGGCCAGAGTGCATTTTGATCTTTTCATTAAACCGTCCGAGTAACCTTGACACACGAGCAATGTTGTGACAGGTCTTAAACTCCACCGCTTCATTCCTTCACGTCAGCCTCCATCACATCAGCCCTCTCTTCTTGGCCTCTCACATGTGATTCACAGATAGTCCAACAGGAAGAGCATAATTTCTGGCCTTCCTTCCTGAAGTTAACGTTCCCAATATCACGGCTCATATCTTGCGTACATTACGGACCTTTAGGAGGAAAATCATTCAAGTGATTCTTGGTTTTTGGCTGAGTGAAGGTACTAAACGGCAACTTCATTAAGTCACATATACATAACTGTTCTCTAGAGACTCCGTGATGATAACTAAACATTGTGTGCTTTGCTCCGGAAACCCTATAATCAGTCGAAAAAGACCTTGTGATAAAGTATTCTGATTACTGAAATTGCTTTTAGCGATGATTCTCCCAGTGGCTTATTCTTTATTAGTGTGTATGAAAAAGTCAACGTTATCTATGACAATACGGGACAGCCATTGAAGAGGAACCACTTGAGGGTTGAATTCAATATTTCTCGCATAAATATCAGCAGGACACAGGCTCGCTCGGCACCGGATTGTATTGCCACTTAGCCGTCTTAAGTTTCAGCGGAATTTAATTATATTTAATAGCCCTAATTAAATAAAATATGACATTCTGCATACCCTCAGGCGATAGGAGCTGCTGCTGGGGGCATTGGGAGGGCTTGGTTTGCATGCACGAGCCACTAGAGCCCCTCTCGTGTCACAAAGCTAGGTTAAAACAGTTCAGTGGCACTGAAAAAGAGGGCCCTGAGATGGCCGACATAGCTGGCTGTTGCCACTGTGCACCATTAAGCAGTCCAAATGTGAAATACATACATAAATAAACAAATAAATAAGACATTTACCACCCCTTAATGCATCTAGATGGCTTAGCCTGCTGAAGCTGGCCAGGCATTTAATGGTACTTGTTATTTCATTATAGATCTCAGATAGAGGTGCTATGAACCACGGTGCATTGTGCTGAGCAGGTTCGCTGTGAGGATGCATTAATTAAAGAGCAATAATTTAATATGATCTCATGAACCTGAAACAAAAGGATTATGAGATAATATTACGCATTAAAATCTTAGAATAGGTGTTTTTGGTTAAGGCAGGCTCTGGTCAAGTTATTACATATTCATGTCTAAATACAGCTGGAATAATCAACATTCTTCAGGGAATGTGAGCTTCCTCTTCCATCTCTTTTATTTTGCCTACTGATGTTTAATTCTCCAAATCTGCTTTTGAATTCGCAATCACTGACTTTATGACATATAAGTGATCAGATGCAAAATTTGTACGTTTTAAATATGCATGTGTGATGGTGGAAGGAAAGAAGATTGTGCCAAGCTCTGTTTGTCATCTGTTTGTTTGTGTTCTACAGCATCCAACAGGGATGGTTGTGTTTTAGTTTTTCAAGAAAACTGAATCAGATGTGGTGTAAATAAAGAGCGTAAATAACGGAGTGTTTGGTGTTGGTTGTAATCAAGCTCTTCTTGGTGTGCATGTGTGGTGATGTAGCCATGTACCATTCCAAACCAATGTTGCATTTGAGGTTGGCTTAAATATCAGTATGAAAATAAGAGTGTGAAATAGAAAGCAAACATTTCCTTAAGGGTTTTGATTTGTCCATATATATTTGGTTGCAGTACTTTTTTGAGCGTTTTTATTTTATTTTATTTTTTTGTTTTATTTAGTCATATTATATGACATCCAAGACGTAAATTTTTTTTTAGGAATTTTAGTTATATTTACAGTGGGTACGGAAAGTATTCAGACCCCCTTAAATTTTTCACTCTTTGTTATATTGCAGCCATTTGCTAAAATCATTTAAGTTAATTTTTTTTCCTCATTAATGTACACACAGCACCCCATATTGACAGAAAAACACAGAATTGTTGACATTTTTGCAAATTTATTAAAAAAGAAAAACTGAAAAATGCTCAGTATTTAGTAGAAGCACCCATTTGATCTAATACAGCCATGAGTCTTTTTGGGAAAGATCCAACAAGTTTTTCACACCTGGATTTGGCGATCCTCTGCCATTCCTCCTTGCAGATCCTCTCCAGTTCTGTCAGGTGGGATGGTAAACGTTGGTGGACAGCCATTTTTAGGTCTCTCCAGAGATGCTCAATTGGGTTTAAGTCAGGGATCTGGCTGGGCCATTCAAGAACAGTCACAGAGTCGTTGTGAAGCCACTCCTTCGTTATTTTAGCTGTGTGCTTAGGGTCATTGTCTTGTTGAAAGGTAAACCTTCGGCCCAGTCTGAGGTCCTGAGCACTCTGGAGAAGGTTTTCGCCCAGGATATCCCTGTACTTGGCCGCATTCATCTTTCCCTCGATTGCAACCAGTCGTCCTGTCCCTGCAGCTGAAAAACACTCTGAATACTTTCCGTACCCACTGTAGGTATGTTTAGGCTAATCACATTTCGTTATGCAAACAGGTATAAGAAGCAAGACTAATCGGAATTCGGTATGCAATACTCTGTCATCGCTGTTATCATCGGAATGTTGAACATTCTATCAATGTTACTCTTTTTCAATATTAAAAATATAAAGTTTACACAAAACAACAACAACCAAAGTCTCAAATGATCTAAAACAAATATTTTAGATCATTTGATTTATAAATTTTTGATAATTCAGATTATTTGTTCAAATAAAGTTTTAATGTTAATGCATGTTAAGCATTTTAGCAGTTAATTGAAGTTTAATACTTAGGGCTATCAGTATTGAGGAAGGAATAAACATAAATATATTGTTGTTGTTATTAAAAAATGACTATAAAATGCCATACAATTGCATTAGTGCTCAATCTAAA